ATTCATTTGCTGGTGCATCCAATGTTACACTTCGGCAACGTGCTGGCACCAGCGAAAACCAAGTTATCTAGAGTTATGTTACGGGTCGGAAGAAGAGTTACACGGAATGATGTGTAAATTGAATGTAAAATCATCAACAATGGATTTTGTACCCCAAACCCCTCGTACCGTACACATAGTTGCCACGATTAGGCCAGGTCGCTAAAATCAGGCTAAGGAGAAATACGAATTCCAGTTTAAATCTTTAGTTTCGTTCATCCCGACAGAAAAAAAATAGAATTTCGCAAAAGTATTTTAATCTGTTCCATTTCATCAATCTGAGAATGAAATTTCGATGAGTGCTGTACGGATGATTCGATTGCTACTCATGATGTTTGATGTTCAACACAATGTTGACTTAGTACGATGTCTTGAAGTCTTGAAATGGTACTTGAGGCTTGTGCCCCATAGTCCCGGTTCTGTATTTTTCTTCTTTTCCGCAGTTCGGTGCACAAGCTTAAAGGGAGGTTAATGGAAAAAGGGCTCGGGCTCCAGTGTGGTTTCGCTGAGTTTAGGTTTCATACATTGGGATAAAGTAAGAAGATGGAAGAGAGCATGAGAGAAGGGGCAGTAAAAGGGACAATCAGGGGAAACTGGAGGTGCCCCCCCCCAGAATATGGAAACCAACTAGTTCTGAGGAAAGGTTAGCCCCGTTTAGGGGAGGAATTCTATTGGAGGTATATTCCATTGTGGTATGATCCTATGAGTGAAGAAATTGGAGCAAATGAAGGTTCTAGGCCAGTGTTTGAAGGGTTTTCTTGGGTGTTCCCGTAAATGTTCCAGACTAGAGCGTGTGAGGAAACGGTTAACTTGGCCTGATAAGAAGAGGTTATACAGAATTGTATCGTATTGTATTGTAATAACTTCTGCAAGCATGAAGCCTACATTTCAGTTAAAAATATGCAGTTTGGAGCAAGACAGAAAATGAAAATAATAATGAAGAAAGAGATTTAGACCCTAAAACTGTTGACAAAGGCCGTGAAAATCTGTTCTTTGTTAACTAAGATACGTGCTAATCAGGGTACTGTAGAGTTACGATAAATGTTTATTCGAGAGGAAACACAACGATATTGTGATCTAGTTGAGGGATGGGAACAACAGGAAGTTAGGTCAGCGTGTAGCGGATGTGTGGAATTGATGAGAATCTTATGCGCAAACTTTTGACATGTAGTCAAATGACGTTCGCATAGGTTAGTTTTCAGCTCCTTTAGTGGGGTTGAAGAGACACGGCTAATGACCGTGAATCTGAAGCAAGCCTTTCCCGAGATCAATTTCAGAAGAAAAGAGCAAAGTGCAGTACTGCACGATTTATGTCCAGGACGATTTCGCTGCATCTCAACATGGTGCATGCTGCAGAAAAAACATCAGTTACATAGGAATTTAGCATGGCAACACAGAAGAGTAAAATACAATGAAACAGACAAAGATAAAAGAGCGGAGGGGTTAAAAAGACTGTCACCAGGATAAGGATAAACTAACACAAAGTTCTTTTTGTTGACACAAGGGGGGCTCCCATCAACTGATAGCAATCGCTTCAGCGAACCGTAGCAATCTTGCGATTCGTGACTTGTAGATAATCCGAAACGCCATGCTTCGGTCGATCTGATGTTGCGTCATTACAAGATGTCGAGCTATGGCTGATGACGGAATCTTGTAGTTTCGACCGTTGTTTCTATGCCGCGGAACTGACCCAGATTGCGTCATCTGACTTTGAACCCAATTTGGAATATGTTCAATCACCCGGTTGCGTATCTGTCGCTCTGTTCTGCCCACGTAGGTCGCTCCGCAGCCACATTGGAATTAGTAAATCAGATTAGAGTTGGCGTACAGAGGCAGACGTTCTTTCACCGGGGTGTGTGGGTATTCTAGTTGTCCGATAGACGATTTGGGGGTCGGCTGCATAGTAGGTTCGAGTAATTGCCTATCTTAGTCGTTTTTTGAACAAAATGCTTACGTCATCACCTTTGAATTGGAGGCACAACGTGACTCGTAATTTTCGGGCTGACGCGATGGTTGTTTTTACAGTTCTTGGTTTGCTGTGCTTATTGACGAACTCTTCGGGGTAAGCGTTTTTTGCTAACATCTCCCGAAGGTGTTTTAGTTCTTGTTCAATTTTGTCTTCCGTGCAGATCTGTCTCGTTCTGTTGAATAGAGTCTAAACAAGACCACGTTTATACTCCAGGGGCACAAAGCTCTCGAAGTGAGATGCAGCGAACTCGTCCTGGACATAAATCGTGCAGTATTGCAATTTGGTCTTTTCTTTTGAAATTAAAAACTTTCTTAAGGAGATTGGGAAAAATAACAGGTGAACAATAAAGCAAAACGGGGAAAACACACTGGTACACAAATTTGAAAATAATTGCTTGTTGAATACGAAACTTGAACAGAGAAGTCAGAAACATGGGTTTGCACAATGTATCCATGGTTATTTCGCTGCATCTGTACACGTGCATACTGCAGTCTAAATGATTTTTATAGTCAGTGAGATAACAGATTTGAGAGAAAAAACACAAGATCGCTAATCACAACGGACAACGCAACGTAAAAACACAAAACAAAACACAAAAAGGGGGAATGAGATGAGGCAGTGGGTCAATCACCAAGGCAAAGCTAATGTGACTAACCATTCGCGTTGTTTGCATAGATCAGGTTTGAGAGTGTGAATGGCTAGGACCTCGGCAAATTTTAGTAATTTTGTGTTTACTGTGTTGTAGATGACATGAAATGCGTGGGGTGGGGTGACACAGTGCTTTTTGTTCGAGTAAATGCACGTGTACAGATGCAACGAAATGACTATGGATACATTGTGCAAACCCATGTTTCTGACTTCTCTGTTCAAATTTGTGACGGAAAACAGTGTTTTAAGAACACGAAACTGACGAAGTTTATGGATATGAAAAGGATGTCGTCCAAGCTTACTGACGACATGTTGAATGTGAGAGGTTCATTGCAGATTAGTATGAATGAAAACAATCAGTTATATAATACAGTTTACGTGGGATAGTGGTTCGGAGCCAATCGATAGCGGTTCATTTGGGACAGACGAGCGTGATAATGTACAGGGACATTTGAAACATTTGGAGGGATCCAGAGATAGGCCCGATGTGGCGAAAAGCTGTTGGACGTTATCCAAGTACTCAGAAAATCGTGAAAGACCAGAAGAGTCGAAGATGGCCTGACACAAGGCCACATCGTCAGTATATTTGAAGGGAAAACGTAGGGGCGCTAGCAGACAAGTCACTAATATACGTAGAATATAAGCATGAGGAAAGAATTGCACTTTGGAGTACTCCAGAATTGTTCAACAACGGTTTGGATTTTATTCGACCTAACCTGGTACACTGAGTTCTCCCGGAGAAGTAATCGGTAAGCCAAGCTAATAACCGTCTAGTACAACCAAAGGTCTCTANNNNTTTATGAAGAAGAAGGGAACGAAGAAGAGAATCAAAAACAGATGAGTAGTCCAGAAGCACACAACGGACAGATTTCACAGTCATTCATGGATTTGGTAATTCTATGTGAAAGAGAGGAAACTGCATCTATCGTGCCTCTGTTTGGTTTATAAGCAAACTGAAGAGGATCATATGGGACATCAGTGGAGGACTGAATGCGCTTAAGAACAACACGTTCTGCTA